ACCTAGTACGTAAGTACCGTAGTACTCGGTACGGACATTTCACCACGGTTTATTCTTCATTTGTTTAGTGCGCTAGTACTCACCACGGCTTTGAAAGGTTTATTACTCAGTTTATTAGACCTCTTTGCTTTATCTTCATTTTCAACCGATTATTTCCAGCCTTAATTAATAATTCCTTTGCACAGATGAAGATTAACAAATAAAAGAAAGATAAAATTTTCAGGTTTATAATGGGCAAGAACAGCACAACTTAAACAAGTCTGGTCAAATCAGCATAATTTTAATAGTACGTTAATCATCCGTACTAAGCGAAAAACAAGAAGATTCAGGTCTACAATGAGAAGCATTGTAGCACTGAAAATATGTCTGGGGAGGTTGAATACATGAAAGGCCACGTTGTGGTTCTCACAATGTTAAAGTGGATGAAGAAATGAAGGAGTGCTTGAGTGACATAATCAATGAGAAATGCCTGCTTACTTTGAGAGAAATAAACCAAGAGTTTCATAAAAGATTGCCGGCAAAACCTTTCGTAGATGACGGAATGATTGAAAAAGCTCTTGACGGGATGCTGGTATGCATTAAACTGGCTAGACCATTACCAGCAGATAGGAACCAGCCAGATGTTATTCAGATGTGCGTTAATTACACTAACTGGTTCATGAGCACTGGGATGGTTAGTCACACCATTTTCATTTATGAATGCAGCTATAACATTTTGACAGCTAAAAGCCATGGAAGAGCGAGAGTTGGCGAGTGAGCATATTGTCAAGTATGTGCCCTGCGTGGAAGAAATGTGACAATCACCATAGCTGTCTCTCTACTGAATGGATTCGTCCATCACACAGAACAAATTGGTGGAATGAATGCCCACCGTGATGTTATTGGCAAAACTGACCAATCATTCTACACAAACTAGACTTGTAAGAACATTCTAATGACAACAACTATTCACTTGACTCTGATGATGACTTCTGCACAGGCTGTCGAAACGTCAGTCAGCACCACCGACAACAATCCTGCTCAGGACTACATTCACCTGGACGATCACACCACACTTTCACATGTTACCCCAGAGTTCAAACCATTTACTGCAATAATAAACAAATTACAATTTACCAAGATGAAGGTATCTCCCCAGATCATCTTTTTCTGACACAGGATTGCCCTCTTTATCTAAGTCTTTACGGTATCTTTTTATATTTTTCATCATCATATCTTTTCTTGTCAGCTCATAGTGGTTAGGGAAGTGATTGATAACTCTGCAAAAAAAAGGCAAAGTCAGACCTAGTTGAGAGGCTTATAAATCATTATTTCTCTTGTGCCCTAAACTAACGAGTAACTCTGGAGTGGCAGAAAGTGTGAAAATAGAAATATACCATACGATTTTATTATTATAACTGGCAGCACCTGTGGGCAATATGAAGGAATCCTGTGTTCTGATTGGCTATGTGAGCAGGTATGATGAAGCCACCCTGCCTGCTTGGGATGGTCTGCTTTGATCCCATATAAGAAGAAAAGCGCACGGAGTGGACTTACAAAGTGCACAATTCTTGGACATTGTGTGAGATCAAGTTGCAAAAAGCAGCAAAAGACAGTTAAAACAAAAACATAAACGACTCTTGTGGATTAATTGTACTAAAAACATGGTTGGCTTTCTTTCCTGGCTCTTCAAATAAACAAGACAGTCATTCTCGATTCTTATAAAAACTTTGTTGATATATCCAAATTATTTCGTTACCCCCACCGACGCAGCCCCAAACAGTTTCTCATAAAAGCAATTTTTTTTGCTAATATATAATTACTCCTTCACTGTTCAGTCAAGATGGGAGAGCGTTAGCCTCATTATACTTTTTCATTCTTATGGACCTCAACTTCGTTTCAGTCCATAAAAATGCAGAAAAGAACTTACCCAAAATCTAGCCATCTTGACCACATGCTTAATCAATCACACATATATACATACTTCTATCTAATTGGCACTTTCAACTAAGGATTTTCACGAACCCTGTAGGGTATCATTCCCTGACAAACAGATGAACATAGGCATGCTATGCATGTGGGTTGAAATGGGACACAAAATAACCGATGTTTGCAGTTTTGAAAAAGAAAAAGAGCATTTATTTTCAAAAGATTCCGCTGAAAATATTGCTCAATGGAGAGCAAAAAAGACATACTATTAGGCAAGTAGGAGTTATTTTTTGTCTATGTGTGTTGAAATAAGACACTAAGTAACTGACGTTTGCATTTTTGAAAAAGAAAAAGAGCATTTATTTTCAAAAGACTCCACTGAAAATATCATTCAATGCAGAGCAAAAAAAAAAAAATTCCAATTTATCTGTTATAAACTTAGACACATTTTATAGCACTGCCGTTGGTGTCTGAATGATTGTTGGCAAAAAAAAATAAACTGCACTAGCACCACACTTCCTGCAGTCTCCTCACAGCCCTAATCTGGTCTCATCACGAAACGTTCTCTCTCTCACATTGCATGATGAGACCAAACAACAACCTGCTTGTAGGCTATGACAATGCTTACTGCTGTTCCTTTGTCAGAGACAATGTTTTGATTACTTAGTTACAGCTAGTTGCCTCAAAAATATTCTTCCATATAATTTTACAAAAGAAAGCAAACCAAAACTCTCTTTCATTTTTAACCGCCTCTGAACAAAGATATTTTGGGGTCTCCGTTCTTCAAACTAATGAAAATAGATTAAACAAAGAGAAAAGTATCATATTTCAAAGCATAACAACGTAGGCTCCTTGTTTGGTTGTTGCCTATCTGGACTTTGCCCTGTGCATGCGAAATACTGGTAAAATGCTGGTTGTTTACAAGAAATTGACACGTGATGGGTTGAAGTCTAAGGTAACTAAAAGTGAATCTTTTTGGCAGAAAACGTCTAAGCACGAGAGAATTGCGTGGAAAAGTGACTAACAGTAGCATTATATTCCTTGTGAAATTTTTTCAGTGAGGCAGGATGTCATGAAGTTTATGTTGTTTATGTTGTTTACTGGAAAATGGCATTTCATCTAAGAAAGTCTAGTTCATAGTGGCCAGTAAACACGCAATTGTAGCTAGAAAGTACCTTTAAACACAATATTTAGTTCATGGAGAACTTTTAGGAGCAAAGAAACAGATATTTAACACAGCAATCAATGCACAAAGTAAATAAAAACTTTGTAAAAAGAGCAACCACAAGGCAAAAACAAGATTATCAATCAAATATGATTTAGGCAAATGCTTTGCACAAGTTTTAAGTGAGTCAGCAAAACTAGCCCTTTCAAAACAACACGCTCTAATGTTAAATTCGTGTTAACGCTTTAGCTGACAGTGTGTGCATTGTAAGTGAAGGAACAGTACACAAAACACGTTTTAACTCGCAAATGGTAGAAAATTTCCCTGACAATCCAGACAGATCATAGCGGAAAAGTCCTCATGAAGGACATGAACCATTACACTGGTAGATGAACTCATAATTCTTGTTAATGTCATTCTTGGTGTGTCAATGCTGGGTTGATTCCATTGCAATGCATCGTGGAACCCTAATGTTCAGACATGACTGGCATAAGGGACAGCATTCTGATTGGTGCAAGCATACCCCAGTGCTGTGATCTGATTAGCATATCATACCTACCCAAATGCAGCAATCTGATGATTTGTGATACACCAAAAATGTGGCAATCTGATTGGTTTGTGATACACTACAAATGCAGCAATCTGATTGGTGTGACAAACCACTCTTTATGCTGACATAACTCAATAAAATGAATGCACAATTGGGTCACTACACAAATTTCTTTGAGTTCCAAACAAATAAAGTTCATAAATCATCAACAAACAAGTACCAGTAATAACTGCCAGTGAACTCACACGCGTACTTATATAATAGTTATAACAGACCTTTAACAAAGACAATTTACCACCACTTCAATTGCGATTTTAATTATCATTTTTCACCCATTTGTTCTCCTGTGTGTTTAGATATACATTATTTTGTACTTGTAATAATGATTTCAAAGAGAGTAACTACTGGCTGGGTCAAGACTTCACAGATTTGAACTTATTGAAAACATATCTGTTTTAGTCATGAAATGTTAATTATACATACTGATCATCTCCAAGCCTGTATCCGGTGTCCACATTAAATATAGTTCTTACTGTCTGCACGCTGGCCCTATTAACAATGAATTATTTTTTTAATCATCAGGTACATGAAATCATTCCTTGACTATCTGTATTATGGGTAGTTCTATACTAGACTAGTGATAGTCTATACTAGACTATATAGTATAGACTATATATATATCTAGTATAGACTATAGTCTATACTAGACTATCACTGTATTATGGGTAGTTCTATACTACCCATAATACAGTGACTAATACCTTACAAGAGAACTCCTGAAGGAACTAGGACAGCCTATTTGAGCAGAAATGCTTGTCCATAAGGAAGTATTAAGAAACATTCACAGATATTCCGTTGAAGAAACCACCAATTTATTTGTAAATTCTTCCCTCCCCCACCTCACCACCCCAATGCAACACCCACTGACAACCTTCACATCACAGAAGAACGCTCTCTTGATTTAGTACTATCTAGCAGTGAAGGGGAACCTGTTTCATAGTCTTGGGTCAGAATTGGAAGGTTTTATAAAGGAAGGTGTAAGTTCCTCATTTGTTACAAGCATAGTTGAGAGTAAAATGCCAGTTCCCCCACCAACATGCAAATTCCTACCTTAAGATTTTGCAGTTCAATGCTCTACCACTGAGCCACAGAGAATTCATTAATGAGCTTGATCATAATGATATGTACTATCTTTTCATCAATTTAAAATTCTCCCGCAGTTGAGGCTATGAAGGAAATTCCCTTGATGTGATGCAAGTCATGCTTGAACATTTTTTTATTAAATTTTTGATAGTTTACCTCATTTTGCAATGTAATCAAATACAGTAGAAGAAAACATGGAGGCTACAAGTCAATCTAAGGTTCATTAAGCTCAGTAAAATACCTCGCAAATGTATTTCACTCTCTTAGGAATTGGACATCTTAAGTGATTGCTTCTTTCCATGTTACAGGTATTTCATTTTCTCACATCTTTGGTTTGAGCATTCTTGTTTATTGTATTCTTGACTGTTCATTTTTAAGTTTTTCTACCATGTGCCATGCGATTTAAGGCATATTCAATAAAATGGATTGAAACTAACTGTCCAAGTGTGGAACACTGGTTTCAACAGTGTCACCTTGATTGACTTGCAGTCGAAAAATGCAACACTTGGTAATTGTGCAGAACAGCTCCCCTCCACTAATGGCTGACAGCTTACCAACAGTCAGCTGACAGCTTTATTTAGGTTTGCTGAAAAGACAACTTCTTGCAGGACATCTGTTGGCCAACAGTTGACCAACTGTGAGTTGACTGTTGGTAGAATGTTGGCAACTTTTAAGTCAATTATTACCTTGAAGTGTGTATGATTTAGAACCTCTGATAATTGCATCAAAAAGATGAAATTAAACTCTTAATATTTTCAGACATTAATGGCTCTTTTATGTTAGTTCAGCACAATTTCTAGGCAATTTCTCTTCCAGCAATCACTTCCATTCCTGGGCCCATTCACCATTTTGGATTTTTAACTTTGTCCCAATCCCTCTCTGAATTTTGCACCATCTGAAGTAAAGCAAGTATGAAGCGATCTTTGCAGTTATACAAAGATGGCTCTCATACTTATTTCTTTAACCGTAGTTCACATATATGATTTTCATATATCTTCAAGTAAATTAGTCAATGGTGTTAATGACTTTGTCTTTATTGTTGGCTCCTAAAGAAGCTGTTTGCTTAAAAGGAGAGACAGCTTTAATCTTAAAAGTGATCACTGAATTTGAGTGGCAACAGCTGTCCCTCTTGTCACATGTTAGCCATTACTGGCAGGTGTCTCTGAAGTCTTCTTCTGAAGACTGCTTTGAGTTCTTTAACAGACCCCCTGTCTATGTCTCTTAGTGCCAGGTTGAGTTCTACCATTCCTAACTCAGCAACAGCGAAAAAATCTCAGAGGGTGCTGCAAGGGCAACCAGCCAGGCAAATGCATTCACCATGCGACAGCTGTTGTCCTTAAGGATCTGTAGCACCTTCTGGTATTCAGAATGGATTTTGGCCAGACTGTGGGTGCTGGTGTGAGTGGCATCTTTTATTGGGGTTGCTGCAGCTGAGTTTCCTCAGCTGTGTTGGCACAGTGTCTGAACCTCAGCCTTGAGATCGGCAATGGTCCTTTTGGCATCCATCAACTTAGTTTGGAGAGTCTTGATGGCCTCTGACTTTTGTGTGGACCAGATTGGGCAAGCTCCTCTGCATCTTTTAATTTCTGCATCTTTTAATTCCTCTGCATCTTTAACTCAGCAGCAAGTTCTTGATTCTGCTGTCGTTGGTTGTGGAAGGGCATGCCCAGTCTCTCGTAGTCGTTCGCCAAGACATCATACTTTTTGTTAACCTCCTGGTAGCTCGGTTCATCATCAGGCTGTTGTTTGCTCTGGAGGGCCTTCTTCTTCTTCGTTTTTTGAGGTGCCTAAACTGGACAGGAACATTGCCGGTTATCACCAGAACAGACACCACACTGGTTGATACAATGAAAGATTGCATAGTCGCCGCCATAGATGGTACATTTTAGAAGTCACTAGCACATTGTTTCTTGTTTGCAAATAAATTTGTAACAATTGCATTTCTCTACACAAGAGCTTTGATACTCTCCCAAGGATCAAATCAACAGGGTGTGTAAAACTCTTACAGAAATGTGGTTGGTTAATATAAATATAAAAGAATATTAATGAAAATATTAGTGAATACTCAATTGTTTATTGGTCGAGCACGTTTTTGCATATGAATACTTTGTTACAATAATTGCATTTCTAGAGGTACCTGGGTTTTTAGCATGGTTGAAAGAAGAAGTCGTGTCTTCTGAGTACTGAACTATAGGAGGGAAACTTTAGTAACTGGACTTTGTAATACTTGGAATCACGATTATTTTTGACAAGTTTTCCCCTTACTTCAACCTCAACAACCTGGGCTACATCTACATCATGGTAAACCACTTGGAGAACTTTGTCTTTACATGTGCAGGAGCCCACAAGAACACTATCAAGGGGGTCTGGGGTTAGGTGAAGAGAAAGTTGAAGGTGATGATCAGAATCTCCAAAGGCAAACTTCCGTCCTATCTTGATGAGTATAACTGGCAAAAAAGTCTACTCAGGTGAATACTTCATGAACATGCTATCTGACATATACCAGAATTCTACTTGCTCAACTGAACCCGCTTAAAAAAAACAGGCTCCAAAAGGAGCCACCAAATGCAATAAAAGCTAAGACCAACATATGTTCTGTTGTTCATTTTGTTTTGGTTAAAGTGCACCTAAACCCAAAATTTTTTCTTTGCTTAATGAAATAAGCGTATTTTTCTGAGTATTTCTGTGCAAAAATTTTTTTATTTGCTCAAATCTTCAATTTTCTGTGCCCAGTCAAAATACGGAAAATCTGCCGCCATCTTGCCCCAAGAACGAGTTTAAAGAGAAATGGCTCTAGCGGGTAATGTAACGTCAAATTGAGAACACGAAAGTCTGCATTTTACACATTTTCAATTGTTTGGGAAGGTTGTAGTCGACATCGTCTGAAAATATGCCGACTAAGTGTGTTGTAGGAGGATGTAGCAACGTGCGAAATTT